CATATGGATATTCTCCTAATGATCCAGTTCTGGGTGGTCCACTTGTCTGGCCGTACAGCAAGACCATTATCAATGGCCCGTGAAGCTGTGTAAAAGGGTGTATTCACAAAGGTATAAGCAGGATATAGGGAAACCACAAGGATAGTACAATACCCCTGGGCTGGTATCTGTGGGAACAAAGGGTAGGTGGAAGGAGACAGTCGTGCAGAGAGAACTTCTCTGAAATCCAGTCAGCCCAAAACTAGCCCAAGATGAGGCCACAGGAGGGAGCTGGGGAAATAACTACTTCAACCTACTCCTTTCCTTCAGCCTTATTCTAGCACTCCCCATTGGCCAAACCCAAGTGGAAGCCACAGGGCAAGGGGACCTGATGATGCAATCCATACAGCGTGGGCCCCGCAGGAGAAAAGGCAGGAGAATGATGGAAAGTAGACCTGAAGGTGGAAGATATCTGACACACAAGAAAGGTTGTGATTTTAAACAGGAAGGTCAAGGGAGTTCTTACTAAGAAGGAGTCGCCTGAGGAAAGAACTGAAGGGGTATCGTAACTCATCTGCATGGTCCAAATGTATCCCCCCAAGTTTATGTGCTAGAAACTTAATCACCACACAAAGGTGTGGCCTTTGGGGAGGTTCTTTATAGATTAATGCCATCATAAAAGGGCTCCCTTTCGCCCTTCTGTCTTCTTCCATGTGAGGGCACAGCATTCCTCCCCTCCAGAGGATGCAGCGTTCAAAATGCCATCTTGGAAGCAGAGACTGGCCCTTGATCTTGGACTTTCCAGACTCCAGAACTGTGAGAAATACACTTCTGTTCTTATAAATTACCCAGGCTGTGCTATTTTGTTATAGCAGCACAAAATGGACTAAGACTGAAATGGATACCAGAGGAATTGGGTGTTGGTATAACAAATACCTAAAAATATGGAAGCAGCTTTGGAAATGGGTAATGGGTAGAGGCTGGAACAGTTTTAAACTGAATGCAGGAAAAAGCCTTTCTGGCCATGAATGGAACATTAATGGTGATTCTGGTGAGGATTCAGAAAAGAGGCAAACTGCAGGGAATGCCTCACTCTTTTTGGAGATTACATAATTGGTTGTGAACAGAATTTGATAGAAATAAAGATAGTGAAGACTATTCTGATGAGATCTCAGACAGAAATGAGAAACAAGGCATTGGAAACTGGAGAAAGGTCATCCTTTTTATAAAGTGTCAAACAACTTTGACAAATTGTGTTCATGTCCTAGGACTTTATAGAAGGCACAACTGCAGAGCATGAACTAGAATATCTGGCAGAAGAAGTCTTTAAGCATCAAAGTATTCAGGATGCTGCAAGAAGAGAGAAATGATTTAAAGATAGAATTCATAATTAAAAGAGACACAAAACATAAAGATTTGGAAAATCCTTAGCCCAGCCATGTAAAGAATAAAAAGCATGCTTAGGAGAGAAAACCAACGGTGTGGCCAAGCCACCATCTGATAAGGAGATTAGCATGAATAGAAGGAAGCCAGATGCTATCCATCAATACAATGGGAGAATGACCGCAAAGATATTTTGGAGATCTTCAGGGACTGCCATGCCCATCCAGGCCCAGAGTGCTAGAACCCTGGGAGCCAGGAGATTAGCATGAATAGAAGGAAGCCAGATGCTATCCATCAATACAATGGGAGAATGACCACAAAGATATTTTGGAGATCTTCAGGGACTGCCATGCCCATCCAGGCCCAGAGTGCTAGAACCCTGGGAGCAAAACAATTTGGGGGGAGGGGCCCAGGGTGCCTTTGGGACCTCAGAGCTCACTGGCCAGGGCCACCTCTTTGGATTCAGGCACAGTACTCCTCAGCTGCCTGAGTTGAGGTTCAAGCAGGCCCTGGTGCAGGTTGGCCCATTTCTCTGGAGAGCACAGCAGCAAGCCTTGGAAGTGTCCATGAGGTGCTAATTCTGTAGACATGAGCACCATAAGAGCTGCAAGAGCTGTGGAGGCATGGCTTCTTCCACCTAGATTTCAAGGGATGCTTTGGACAGCATCAGGGACCAAGAAGAGACTTGCTGCAGGGTCAGTGCCATTGCAGAGAGCCCCCCGGGGCAATGCCCAGCAGAACTGTGGGGTTGGGGCTTCTGCAGAGAGTTTCCATAGGGCTATACCTAGTGGAGCTGTGGGAGCAAGATCCCGTTACCGGCCAGTAAAAAAGACAAAAAGAAAAAAAGAAAGAGATTCCTTAGAGCTGGGTTGAGGGAAGCTTTCTGGAGGTGATGGCTTTGGAAGAAGTGAAGAATTATAACAGAAGAAAGGGGGAAATAAGGGATTCTGGGGGAAGAAACAATGTGAGCAAAGATGTGGTTTCCAGTTACCTCTTTCTTCTTTCCTATTTCTCCCTTTTAAAATGGGAATGTTTGTTCTATGCCTGTCCCACTATTGTATTTCGGAAGCACATAATTTATTCGATTTCATAGCTGGAGGGAAATTTGTCTCAGGATGAATTATCTCACCCACGTCTGATTTAGATGAGACTTGGAATTTTTTACTTTTGAGTTGATATTGGAACAACTGAAGACTTTGGGGGCCATGGGAATGCAATGAATGTATTTTGCATGTGAGAAGGATATGAATTTAGGGGACTGGGGAGGAAGGTGATGGCCTAAATGTGTCCCCCAGAATTAATGTGTTGGCAACTTAATCTCCAATGCAACAGTACTGGAAGTGTGGCCTTTTGGGAGGTGTTTAGGCCATGAGAGCTCTGCCCTCATGAATGGATTAATGCAACCGTACAAGAACTTGATGAATGGAGTTTGGCCCCTTCTGCCCTTCCACCTTCTGTCATGTGAAAATACATCATTCTTCTTCTCCGGATACAGCATTCAAGGCACCATCTTGGAAGCAGAAAGTAGCCCTCACCAGATTCCAGAGACTTAATCTTCGATTTTCCACCCTCCAGAACTGTGAGAAATAAATTCCTATTCTTTATAAATTACCCAGTCTCAGGCATTTTGTTACATCAGCACAAACAGACTAAGACACCATATAATCCTAAAAACAACTCTATAAAGTTCACAGTGTTAATCTCCTCATTTAACATTTCAAGAAACTGAGGTACAGCAAGAATAAACAACATAGAGTTGTCCAAGGTCACACAACTGAAGGTTGGTAGAGTTGGGATTTAAACACAGGCAGTTTAGCCTCAGAGATCCTGCTCTTAAACAAAGTAGGATATGGGAGAGTCATCATAAAATGAAAGGGATGAAGAAAATGTCAGGGATGTTAAGTATTGAGCTCCGACTGTATACTAGCCACTGTGATAGGTGCTATGCGGGATATACAGAGGTACAACATGCTATGCTTGTCTTCAAAGAGCCTCATCAGAATAGTCTTCATTCCATATTTCTACCAAGTGCATTGGTGTATAGCAATGGGTATAGCTGCCTTTCATATTTCTACCCACATTCTGCTCACAACCACCTTAATAATCGCTAAGAAGAACGAGGCTTTCCCTATGTCTCTTCTCTTCTGAGAATCTAGTTAAAGGGTGGGGAGGGAATACAGAAATGTGTGCAAATCAAATCCCAGCAGATTTTGATACATTCTAGTGTAGAACCACAGATAAAATGCTGGAGAGCACTAAGGAAAGAGATTCCTGGGCCGGCCCGGTGGCACACTGGAGAGTGCGCTGCTTGGGAGCGCGGCGGCGCTCCCACCGAGGGTTCGGATCCCATGTGGAGACCGGTTCCCGCTCACTGGCTGAGCGCGGTGCGGGCGCAACACCGAGGGTTGTGATCCCATTGCCGGTCCCCGGTACGGGCGCGACACCGAGGGTTGCGATCCCGTTACCGGCCAGTAAAAAAGACAAAAAGAAAAAAAGAAAGAGATTCCTTAGAGCTGGGTTGAGGGAAGCTTTCTGGAGGTGATGGCTTTGGAAGAAGTGAAGAATTATAACAGAAGAAAGGGGGAAATAAGGGATTCTGGGGGAAGAAACAATGTGAGCAAAGATGTGGTTGAATTTGGGAGATGGCCAGTTATCTGGTTTGGTTAGAATGCATGAGACTTGTGCTGAGAGAGTCAATTTTGGGTGGAACACCAACATGCCATCAAGTCACACTGAATCACAGAGGGAAGTAGCGATCTCCTTTCCACTTCTCTTTCTGGAGAAAAGTCTCAGCTCGGTGATAGCCCACCTTTCACACTCTAACACTTGCTAATCTCTTTTTAATACAAAAAGCACAGGCAACTGAGGTCTGGTTGGAACTGAATAATGTGACTATGTTTACATTGTCTTTATTTTTACAGTTGTGTTCTATTTCAGCCAATCATACTTTTTAAAAAAATTTACACAGAAATTGTTATTTATTTTCCTTTACAGGTAAATTTATTTAAGAAAGATTATTTGATTTAATGGGACAATAGTGAGTTAAACACTCAGGTGGTGCATGGCTGTGGCAAAAATCACAGAGCTGGAACACCAATGACTGATGTTTAGGATATTCTGGCACAGAGTTTAAGATGTGTGAAGGGGACAAAGGAGGGGAAAAAGGCTGGAAAGGGGTCGGGTGACGAAGGGCCTGAACACCATGGGAAGGAATGTGGGTTTTATTCTGTCAACCATGACGGCGAGATGTTGGCCCAAGAACAGACAATGAACATGGCCGGAGACGGACTTGGCAGGGCTGGCTCTGGCCTCTGAGTGCAGGGTGAGAAGGGAGACCAGGGGGCTGGGGCCACAGTGGGGGGACTCAAAGAGAATGGGCATCAGGCCCTGGACCAGGGTAGAGGTGGCCCAACTGAAAGGGAAGAAGATATAGTCTCTAGAGCCCCTGTCAGTCTGTGTCATTGGGTGACACCTGGCTCACCCGCTGTGCACAGATTTTCTTTTTCAGAGATGACTTTCAGCCTCTTCTCCTGGCTCCTAGGCACCTCTCTGGTGTGATTTACTAAGAAGAGTCAATAGCCTCTGTCTGGGTTTGACTGAGTCGAGGTAAAAAGAGCAGAGGCCAGCCCGCCCCGATCTCATCTGGTGGGAGAACTGGAGGTACAGTCAGTGATGGAGAAAACTGACCCGCACCTTCTCTTCCTGTGTTTCCTCGTGGGAAACTTCCCATGTCTGCTGGACCGCCTGTGCTGATTCATTTTATTCCATAGGAAGAACATCTGATTTTCTAAGACCTTCACCTTCATTTCACTGAACAAAAGCCGTTCGAGGATCTTGTCCTGGAGGGCAAAGCAGGCATGTATCCTCTCCATTTCCTTCGGGTTCATGGCCTTGCCATGGTTGGGGTGGGCTGCGGGAGTCTTTGGTTTCTCTGCCTCCTCCTAAGCTCCCCACCGCCAGGAAAAGGGGAAAGTTGGTTAATAATGATAATCCCTTTCCTGTTTGAACACCTGCTCCCTGCCAGGTGGTTTATAAACATTGTCCTCATCGATTCTGGTGGCTACATCATTGCCACATTTTATGGGTCAGAGGATGGGGACCCAGTGGGACATGGTCACTTTCTCAGCATCATACGGCCCCCAAACTCCCAAGACCATGGATGCCTTTGGTTCATAGGAATAAATGACGTGGCTTGTTAAATCTGCCAGTCACAGAGGACATAAAGCCCTTAACCCAAATATATCTGTCCCCAGAGCCTGTGTTTTTCCAATATGCCTCTCTGAGCATTTTGTCAGGCCTAGTAAAATCTCAAACTGTAAAGTCTCAGTGGTCTCATGACATGCTCTTATCTCTATAATTCTCATCCGTCCCTGCCCCAGTTAATAACACTTCATTATTTTTTTTCTTTTTTGGATTCAGCTACAAACTACTGGTCTTTAAAAACATTTAAAAATTTACATAGTTCACACATGCAAAAACAAAGCAAACATTACAACAAATACCCATGTTTGCACACCAGCTTAAGAAATGAAACATCACAAATATAACTGAAGTCCTTCCCATAGTGACCCCCTCCCTGATCATCTCCTCAACTGCAATCCTGAATTTGGTATTTATTTTTTCCATGCATTTCTTTATACTGGTAGTTTTTGATGGAAGCCTATTTTGCCCTCCCCAGGAGACATCTGGCAACCTCTGGAGACATTCTTGTTGTCACCAATGGGGTGGGGGGGGGTGCTACTGGCATCTCATGGGTAGAGGCCAGGGATGCTGTTAAACTTCCAACAATGCATAGGACAGTGCCCACAACAAAAAATTGTCTGGCCCAAAATGTCAATAGTGCCAAGGTTGAGACATCCTTCCTTAAAATACAGGATAGGGCACTTTTGCATTTTTTTAACTTTATATAAAAGATGTCATAATCTATGTGCATTTCTGCTGTCTTTATTATTATATCTTAGAGATGTATCTATGTTGATAATACGTATCTCTACTTATCCATCCTAATTTTTTCCATATTAAAGTAGTTGTTACTGTTGCCAAAGCATGTTAACATCAAACATGAAGTGGGAGAATCTGGGATGGTCCCTATTTTAACACTGAGGCAACTGAGACCTTGTGGAGGGAAGGGGTCTGTCCACCGTCACCCAAAAGGAGGTCGCAGAGCAGGGACTGAGACCAGAGTCTTGGATTCGTCAGTCTTGCCTCATTCTCCTGACACTGTCCCTGTCCCTCAACCCCCCATCTAGCTGTAAATACCCCATACCCCTCAGCTGAAGCTAAGCCCCTTCTTGCTCACCTTCTGGGGTTCTGGGGAGGTGGGCTTGTGTTCATACTTCACCAGCCAGCTGCTAAGCAACAGCAGAAGGAATAGAAACCCAAACAAGGCTGGCTTGTAGCCCATCAGCCAAACCACCACTGCTCCTGCAGTGCCCGAGGACGTGAGTATCCCATGGAGACTTCGAAAAAGAAATACTAGTTCCCCCACCATTATGGTGTGGAGGCACACAGGCCCCAGAACCCTCCCTCAGTCCCCTCCATGACAGGAGTCACAGCCACCCACTCCTCTGAGTAATAAATAGCTCCCTCCCCCCCCACCCAGGTGCCGCATAACAATAATACTAACTACTCTTATGTCTTAAGCACCTACTATGTGCCAGACTCTGACAGACAGCTTGCAAGCATCATCTCATGGTGTCCTCACAATAGCCAGGTGACATAGGCCTTGGCAACACCTCATTCATTCAATACTTCTGGGCCCAGCCACTGGGAATAAAATGGCCAACAATACAGAGCCCCTACCTTCCTGGTGGAGGAGACTTCAAAGAAAAACTATCCAAAACTCAGAAATAAGGTAAAAAGATTGTCACCATCAACAGGCTCAACTGAACAAATGACCTGAAAGTTCAAAAGCTGGTGCAAAGATTGGAAGCTTTATTTTGATAACCAGCACCTGGGGAATAACCAGGCTAAAATCATCCCACCTTCTGGTGCCTGTCCTAGGGTTTATAAAGGGGAAGATGTGGGAAGGGGAGGTAAGAGTTTTGTCCTGTGGGCAAAGGGGAAGGCTGATCATGGGATCAGCAGAGGGGCTGAGTCACGTGTAGGGCCCCATGATGAACTGGGTGCTTTGGCGTCACAGAGTCTGCAGTTGGTGGATTGGTCAGCTTCCAACCCTTGATGTTAACCCAGGGTTGGAATCCTTATCTCCTAGGGAGAACCCAAAGACAATAACCTCGGTCAAGCATCACTGGAACATAAAAATACCTGACTCGTACCTCTAACTAATGTGGATGCAATTTTCCTTTAAGCAAGAGGATAAGTTAATAATCAGCTAGGGTGCTTTGCCTTTCTCTTGGAATTCCTTTGTTTGCAATTGATTAGGAAAGGTAAGAAAAACAAGAAAACTTAGTTTCAATTCTTCATTTTAGGTGTGCAACATCTAAAGTAAATCAACATAAGAGGGTGTAATGGGAGATACACAGAAATAAACTTTTGGGAAGGATCCCTTTAGGGCATGATTTCATCTCTGGGCAGTTCAGCCATACTGGTGAGTTTCTCAGTTCCTGTGCTAACCTCAAGGAATTGATGATTATCAGTTCCTAAGTTAATGGCTAACTGAAATTTTCTACTAGGTCTTAGTTACCCCAAAGATGGCTGTTCTCTGGCTAAGGTCCTTTAGAAGATTACTACGTTTGCTTTTGCAGTCAAACTAAAATATTGTCTAAAAGGCCCACCTGTTGGTCACCTGATGGTTTAGGGGAAGGTAATTTTGTTTGACTTACTACTTAATATTGATTAGAGTCCAGATCTGTAAAGTTCGATGTCAGTTTTTTAAAAATGAATAGTGCTATGGTTGGAATATCCCCTCCAGATCATGTTGGAGTTTAATCCCCAATATGGTATTTGAAAGGTGAGGTGATCACTGACTGGATTCTATCATTAGTAATTAGTTTTACCAGTTTTTGAAGTTCATGTAAATAAAATTTTTTTAAAAAAAACTATACTTTGAAGGCACAGGCAATTAAAAAGGCAATTATAGATCTGTGTGATACATGGAAATAAACTCAAAGAACACAGGACCTGTTCCAGTGTTGGGTCAGCGAGGGATTCCTGGAAGAATTAATAGAATAAACCACCATCACCATCATTATCATTAGACAGAATTAAGCTGGAGGAGAAAGAGATGTTATGTGTGTGGGAATGGGAGATGTGGGGTGGGGTATAGAGGCCAAGCGAAAACTCCCTCTTCACCCCTGAAGTTTCATTAATAAGAATCACTGACGAATTTAGATTAATATAAAGAGAAGGCATAACAAATTTTATTATTCAATGTGCTGGGAGGGGGTAAAACATGGGGGAATCACCAGGAGAGTCATGTTTCAATTTCCCAGTGAGGCACAAAGCTTAGATATCAGTGTTCATGAGAGAGAGAAAATGGGGGTGGGGGACTCAAGTAGAGACATCTTGTATACAGTTGAAAATATTTCAGGTAATCTCACTGCCGTTCTCAGAAAGAATAGGTAGAAGACGAAGGAGAGACACCCCAGAGGAATTTACAGATGTAAATTCCTTTCCTGTTTGCATTTACAGATGTAAATTTCTTTAGATGAAAAACAGCCTTCTAGTTATTATTGGTTTTCCAGGCTCTCTGAATTAACCATCTTGAAATATGTCAAAGAAATATATTTTGGTACCAGTACATTTTGCTTTCCTAGAGTTTCCCCTCTCCCCTTTGAAACTTTAATTTTTAGAAAGTTTCACATATTAAAGTAGGATTGGTAGCTATGGAGAGATTTGGGTTAAAAGTTTGGAGATAAGAGATAGGCAAAGGAAAAAGCATAAATTGGAACAAGTAGAAAAAAACAAATTTGAGTATGCTGCTTCATATTTTTTTGAGTCCATCTCTTAGTCCTGAGAATAGGTCAGTTTGGTTAAACAGTTTTCTCCCACTCCAAAAAGTGGCACTGCAGATGGGCTACCATCAAGGCTAGATCTCTGTATGGTGTAAGTATGCAGGTATTTAATAAGATATTTTTCTATGACAACAAAGAAAAACAATGGTTAATGTCAGGAATTGTTTATAAGCTAGTTTTTCTACAGTCTTTGAAGCATCTTCATTTGGAGTAGCTGGCCATGGCAATCTGACAGGTTTTTCTGGACTGCAATTGGCATGTACAAAGTTTCTCCAAATATTAAGTGGTTAAGGATGATTTTTCTTCAAAGCCAAAATCACTTAAACTTGCAGGGCCTTGGGACAAAGGCAACTTTAATTTCTAGTTGTTCCAAATCAGAAGTGTGGAAGAAAAAGTGAAACATTAATCTGGAGAGTCACTGTGGATACTGGAAGAAATTAAAAATTCAGGATTCAGTCTAGATAATAAAAACTAATAATAATAATAATAATGGTCAGGGCTAGAATCTAATAATACGTGTACAATAGTTTTCTTCTTCTGAAACATATTTTCCTCTCTTCAAGTCCCTCCTTTCCACCAAAGATATTTACGACAAGACAAATTTATTTGCAAAATAAGTTTAGTCTCTGGCCTGATTATTTGCATAAAGTGCAACGAGAATAGTGATTTATTATGTAGGCTCCTTTTAGGTTGGCTTTGCGGGGACTTTTATAAGGAATCTCAGATTACATTTTTAAAAGCCTCTTGGGGCTTAGAAAGCCAAGCTGAGGATTTGATTCACTCTCAGACCATTTGTTCAAGGTGAATGAATTCCTCTTTTCCAGAGATTCTCAAAATATCAAGTCTCTTGGGCCTGTCGGAAAATGACATTCTTATACTGGACAGATCATCTATGCAACAAACCAACAGAGGAACAGTTAATCTATCAGATGGAGAAAACAAATCTGTGGTTATTAGAGGGGGGAGGGGGCGGGGGAAAGGGAGAGATGTGGTTATTAGAGGGGGGAGGGGGCGGGGGAAAGGGAGAGATTGGATAGGGTTATAAAGAAAAAGTGTGATTTGTAACAATGAACATGCTAATCAAAAAAAAAGAAAGAAAGAAAATGACATTCTTTACTTACAGCAAGGCTGGGAACCAAGAATTTGGATAGGGTTATAAAGAAAAAGTGTGATTTGTAACAATGAACATGCTAATCAAAAAAAAAAGAAAGAAAGAAAATGACATTCTTTACTTACAGCAAGGCTGGGAACCAAGAACCTTGTAAAGGAATGTGTAAACAAGGTACCAGACGAGTCTTTCTCCAAGTCTATTGGCTTTATAAAGTCAATCTCAATCCCTCAAAGCTGCCTGCACATATCTGAAAATATGACATTCCCATCAAACCCTTGGTAAAATAACCAGTGTCTCCAATTTTGTCCTGTTAAAAGAAAACAGATTCTTATTGAAGTTATGCAAATAACTATATTGCCATAAAATAAGCATACTCACGAATAGTTACAAAATCCTGGAGGAATCAAGTAGAGAAAAGTAAATGTTTCAGTTTGGCTCACAAAAGTATGCTTTACAAAATAGCCCAAAAGAGAAAAAAAAAAAAAAAATCCTTAAAATCTAGAAAACAAAACATAAAAAGAATTCTGTTCCAAACAAAAAAAAGTAAAACAAAAAGCCCCACACATTTTAGTTCTTTATTGGTTCAGTCCCACATAATTAATTCTTCTTCTGTTTGATGTTTGGTTAGCAATTTTACAGCTCCAGTTTTTCCAGTGGCGTTCTGGAGTTTTGACCCAATCCAACTGTATAATCTCAATGTCATCAGCAAAGGTCTGTATTTCAGAGTACCCATCAGAGTGTTTTTATCCTTTCCATGATTTTCTTTGAAAAAATAACATTCTAGGCTCCAGCTGCAACACACTCAGAGCCGGCAGAGAGAGAACGTGCATATTGATGCATTGAGGTCTCCGTCTGTGTTTGTTATTTTTGCTGACCCTCCCTCTCCCTTTTTGGGTTCCCCCCAACTCGACTGGAGCTGGTCTCCAGCAACTGACGCCCAATGTGCCTGAATTAGGCCAGGCCTCAGCAGCGGTGCGGGACACCAGCAATCCACGGGAGCCGAGCGTGGAGGGAAAGGCTGGAAGACGAGTCCGTGACTACTGCGAGAGAGCTGCCCGCAAAAGGAAGAAACTACTCCTGACTTCTCCAAGGTGGCCAGCAGCAGCAGTGGCGTAACCGGCACTGGTGGCAGCAGCGATAGCAGCAGCGGCGGGGGAAGCGGCACCAGCGGTAGTGGTGGGAGTGGGGGAAGCGGCAGCAGCGGAGCCGGCGGTAGTGGCATGAGCGGTGGCAGCGGTGTGAGCGGTGGCAGCAATGTGAGCTGCAGCAGCAGCGTGAGAACCAGCAGCGGCAGGAGTGACACCCTGTGGTACCGCCCCATCACCCAGCAGCCCAGCAGAGTCCAAGCCGACCAGAGAGGTGACTCCCCGGAGAGGCCCAAGACCCGAGGTAACCACAAAGGCAAGGCACTAGTGGCCAACTGAGTAGTCACTGAGGTAGCCATAAAAATCGGCAACCCCAGCA